ACCGCACGAATCGTGAGGAAGAACACTGTGATGCACGGAGGCCCTGGCGCGCTCAGATCCACATCCTCCCCCGCCTTCTTCTTCTCGTGGAGCTGCTGCACTCCGTCGGAATAGACTTTGTTGGCCGCGAGCCCGCCCACGGCGAGGTAGCTCTCCTTCGAGACCAGGAAGGTCGACAGCACGACGGCGGAGAGCAAGACCTGCTCGCGAGCCGTAGCCAGGGACAGGAGGGCGATGTTCGTCACGAGGTTGTCGTCGCCTGTTCCTCGGCCCTTGTTGGCGAACTTCGCCTCGGGCTGCGAACCTGAACTTTCTTCTGCACCTCGTTTGACTCCTGGCGTCACTGGCGCGATCTGGATCCCAACCCGAGGTGGCATCTCTTCGTCGCCGAATAGCCCGTCCATGGTGTATGACAAGAGCGTGAATGAGGTGCGTCCGAGCGTGAAAATTGTATCCGTGAATGCCCATAGGTGGTGGGCCACAAATTCTACATACCAATACATCAGGGGTCACGATCTCGTGAAGGGTCGTCGCTTTAGGCTTCAGACATCGCCCATGTTGACGAGCCCCAGAAAGATGTTTGCATGCTGCCAGCCGTTCTCCGAACACTTCTTCCCATACTATACACTGGTTAGTGAGCGTGGGAGCATGAGAGAGTTTGGCACTATTATGTGCAATCCTAATGTGGTTGGCTAGTCCAGCTTTGCAGCTAAACGTGGCCCCACATGGGCCCGTTTCATCAGACCAGGGGCATGCGTGCATTCGATCGGTTAAAAGGGCCTCGGCCTCCTGGGCACCAGGACTGGATCCCGCAGGGGGCTCGCACGAGTCGGGGCCACTCTTTACCCCGAGGGAGGCACTACGCATGATCGTAACATCTATTCGGTTAAATCGGGCGGCGAACTCGGGCTCGAACAGTTTTTAAGTCCTTCGAATTTCAGTCCACAAGTCGTGAGCCTCCTCGGGCACAAGCACAAGCTGCTCAATGTCCGCTAAAACTCGCAGAGCCCAAGGATTCGCATCTGGCATCACCGAGATCGAATATCCAAAAACCTTTTCTCCTAGAAACTTGCCAAACCAAGCAGCAATCAATTGTCTATGATACTCGGGGTGGGCACATTCCTTGAAACCACTTCAGCCGTCTAACACGAAGCTCTACGCAGAACGGGGTGATCTTCCAATGCTGGAACACCTGCTGGGAAGACAAAGAACGGACATGGTGCGCATCTTCCCAGCTCGCTTTACCCCTCATCGCTCTGCGACAGAGGCCAGCTACCGCGAGCTCAAGCTTGCGTAGCTGACCAGCACTAGGAAGAAGGCATTCAACTGCCGAAAGGGTCGAATTCACAACATTACAGAGCAACGCACATCTTTTCCAGCGGTGCGGTATGTTGGGTTGCTGCCAGAAGCGTCCCATGCGGAAATAGGCTGCCTTGGCGACAAGAATTCGTTTACCAAGTTCAACCTGAAGCGATTGAGTCGGAGTGGGGCGAGGTCTTAGATACCGCACCGACTCTCCGCATCCACACTGCTGGCTGCGAAGCATGTGTGCCACTCGGCGTTTCGCCGATGGCGGATCCGAGGGGATGGCCTCTTGTTGTTTGGGTTACGCTTGAGGCCAATCTTCGCTAATTCAGCATCTGACAATTCGTCATTCGTAATCGCGATTCGTTTAGCCAGGTCCAGGGAGAAGACAGGACCCAGGACCAGCTTTTTTAACACATCATCTGCACATTCAGTCAAACCTAAGTACACTTTCGGCGGGTTTAAACACTCGCAGCTGGCTTCAAGATACCGCTCCAGGGTATCCTGTTGCTGGCATGTCGCAATCCAACGGTCAACAGTCGGACGAACCACATGAACAAACGACGCGACGGCAAAAGGGTCCTCTTGGAGCATGCCGCATCCTGTGCGCAGGTGTGTGTCGCCTCTGTCTGCTGGGATGGCCGTGCAAGCGAGCTTATAACGCTGATGACAAATCGACGCTCGCTTCCTCTAGCCATTCCCTCACCAGCATTGTCAACAGCAGGCCAGGAGGGTGAAGCAAACGCGTTGCTTAAATCTTTAAGCGAATCTATCCAGTACAGTCCAGCTTTCAGACGCCACGATATGCAGAGGTTTGCGGCAAGAGCATCTTCCCGACGCCTTCGCCGCAGAGACCCGTGATCCATCTCGGAGTGGATGTATGGCGGTCCCTTTCTCATGACTCTCTTCAAAAAGGCTTTGCCGAGAGGGTCCAGGCCGTGCACAACTCGCCGACCAGGAGGACCAGGGAGGGCACATTTCTGCAGAGCAAATCCCTGGCTACAGGACCACAGACTCGGCAGGAGACCCGTCTGGCGAACGAGGAAAACATACGCACCAGCGAGCTTCTAACGTGTTCTCCATGGATCGGCGGCAGCTTCGAGCCGAGTCCAGCATGGCTACGAGGATCCTCCTCAGGCGGCTCACCAACGCACAAACCCCAAAGCTCGACAGGCAAGGCCCACCTCGGGACCCCCTTACGTTTAGAAGCTGACTTTAGGTACGCTTGAAGGTACGCTAGATCCCCTACAGCATCTTTACGACATTGCTCAACTCTCTCGTGCCTATACATTGGCGGAGGAGGGGGTCTTCTGAATTGCTCCCGATCCCGCTCCAAGTCCTCCCAAACCATCCTCGAAGCCTCCATCCCTCCCTCCCCGCCTGGCTTGGACCATGTCTCAAGCCATTCCTCTGCCGTGGGCAAAGCTCCTTGCAGGCGAGAAAAGTCTCGCTTGCCACTGCCAAAGCGGCCTCCAGCGAGGCGCAAGCTCAGTCGATGAACTTCCGCCATCTGTCTATGTCGCCACGCTCCATATATCACCTCGACCAGTGTTTCATTTTTTGGACAACTGCTTCCTTGCGCTGGGCCGCGCACTTCTTGGTGAGATACTTGAGCTGTGTGCAGTATGCCTCGAAATCGGCGGCCGAGGAGTCGTGTAGTTGTGCCCGAGGCTCACGACATTGTGCAAGTATCCGTACACGTTCTTCTTTGTCAGGGCCATGTTGGGTGGGCACTTTTCTTTCGAACAACTTCTTTCCTTCATCCCGTAGCACCCCATCCGGCTGCTTCAGCAGCGATTGAGGATCCTTGGCAACCATATATTCCAAATCAAGTTGTCGCAATCTTTGCTCCACTGCTTCAAGAAATTTATGTCGATCGCGTGATCCTCGAAGCGCCTGCAGTAATCTGTCTTTGTCCCATTTGACCTCTACATAGGCATCGCTGTTAGGAGCCTTCCGTTAATCATTTGTGTGATTCATATCAACCCAATCCAGTTCAACATGAGCATGTACAGGTAGGTGGTCACGATGGACAGGCGCAGGAACAACTTGCAGCTTGGTGCCCATCCGTCGAAGAGGTCCGTGTGAGCGTAGGCGTTCAGCAATTGAGAGGGGCAGAACAAAACATGATCAATCATACTGGAGTTGCCGTGAGCGTCGAAGAACGCATGTGCAACTCGGTCCCTGGCAGTGCTGGAGAAACGACCATGTTCTTCCATTAGTTCCCGCAGTCTGTGGCCAGCTCCCCAGAAATGTCGTTCTTGTGTAACTCTGTGCCCGATCGCCAGCTTCCCGACGTCCTTCCACTGTCCTTTTTGCTTAGATAGCCCCATTCCATCATTCACGTCAGTCATGATGAAGACCAGCGCAGAGTGAGGAGCCTTGCTGATCACCTGTGATGCCCATCTGGTCAAGTTTTCACAGCACCAGCGGTAATTCGGAAATGATCTTCTATATGACGGGTTCGGTGGATACTAACGTGTCATCGCATAGACCGAGTGCCCATGGAATCTGAAACAAATTTCCAGGCCGCGCCCTTGCAGATGATCTGGTGGTGTGTCAACCCTTCGAATCCACTTTTGCGGCCATCTCGGTGGAAGCATGAAAGCGCACCCCGCACTAGTGTTTGAGAAATGTGTGTGGTTCCAACCAGCATTGATAACAGCTCGGTCCAACATCTTGGTCATGCTGTAGCTCTCGTGTAGGAATGCTTTTGTGCCTGTGCCTTGGAGTCCTATCATGCCGAACTTGGGCGCTTCGGCTGCGATAGCTTCCATCCGAGACCTTGATCCATGGAGGCAATCGAAAGAGAGAATCGCAAGCGTGTAGATCACTATGCCACTAGCCAGCGGCCACATGACATTGAGAGTGCGGTGCCGAACATGTGAGGGTGTGACCTTGGAATGGGGCGCACAGCATCGGAGAACACCCTCAACGCTGGAGGATGAGGAGGAGGAGGAGGAGGAGGAGGAGGAGGAGGAGGAGGAGGAGGAGGAGGAGGAGTAGGTGGGGGAGGGGGAGTGGGAGTGGGAGAAGGACGATTGTGTGGTGGGGAGTGGGGGAATAACGGAGGCGGTACGGAGGCGAGGCGACGGATGGATGGGGTATAGGTAGATGGTAGGACTGGTGGGTGCGATGGGGTATCGTCCTCAGGAGGAACAACACGCATGAGTTCTGCAAATGTTGAGTCGCGGGGTCGAGGCAGAGGCGCGGTCTTAGCTTTTCGGATCTTCGCGGTGAAATGCTCGCTCTTGGTTTTCGTCGGGGCATGGGTGGGAGAGGAACAGAGTTTCTGCGAGTCAGATTATGTCTCGTAACGATTCGCACATTCCGAATCCTGTGTCCCAGTGGTCGCCCTCGAGTCTGCTTAGCTTGTATTTGCCATCTCTGATTGTTTGTGCCTTTTAGGGAATCGAGTCATTGTTGGTCAATGTGCTCGAGTCGTCCTGTCCCCTTTGAGGTACACACCTTTCATGCTTGTCGTTCACGTCGGGTCAATGCAGCTGTGCTTGCTCATTATGTCACGAAACGGTGTTGTTGTCGTCTTTCCTTGTCCAACTTCGACCGTCTCCTCGGGCTTCCCCCATCGCGAAGGTGCCGCCCCCGCCGCTGCTGCTGCGACTGCTGCAACGGTCGCTGCCGCTGCGGATTTTGCTGCTGCTGCCCCTCGCGCTCTCCCCCTGCATGCTCCCAAGGTGACACTTTCTTGCGGCGGTACTACTCCATCCGACCGCCTCTGGCCTCTGCCGCCAGCCACACCCTGCTGCTGCTTCGAATTCTTTCTTTCCGTCTGCGGTCCTGAATTGCACGCAGCACTCGTGCCGATGGCGCCATTCGAAGGTTCAACAGGTCGCCAATTCCTTTCCCCTTCGCGGTTTGGCTGGCAGTGCCCACTCTCTGCTCTTCCTCCTCTGGTTCTCCTATGTTTCCTCTCTTTGGGGGTTTATGCGCGTGCAAATTTACCTGGTGATCCATGGTGCTTGGTCACGATACGTTGGTGCCCGACTTTAGTCCTTTTTCGAAGGGCAACGGCTTTGCTGTGTTTGCACAGGTCAAGGTTTCGCGTGTTGGTTCGCCTATTGCAGGTTGGCCTTCCCATGATTTTGGGTTTACTTGGTGCATTATGTGAATGTTCTGCAGCTCGTGTCGATGGTGGGTTCACAGCAGGGGGTATAAACTTGACGAGGGAGGGGTCTGGGTAGAATTAGGGGTTTGGCTACACTCCTGAAAAGGAACAGAGGAGGTGGAGGACGAAGTGGAGGAGGCGGAGGATGAAGCGGCGGAGGAGGAGGAGGAGGTGGAGGAGGAGGAGGGGATGAGGAAGAGGGTGAGCAGGAGGAGGAGGAGGAGGAGGAGGAGGAGGGTGATGGAGGAGGATGGGGGGATGGGAAAGCAAAGGTGTGTGTGTGGTTGCGCTTCGCAATGAACCGAACTGAGTTACTGGCATCCCAGCACCTTTAACCGCTGGCTAGATTCAATGACACGTTGGAGGAACAAGTGTGTTTAAGTGGTGTGTGTATGCCCCTCCCGAGTGTTGCTGGCGATCCTCTATGAGTTGTTCCAGCTTCTTCACGCTGCGTGAGCTGGCCTGATCTGCGCCCTTACGCCTGACTTGACCTACGCCGCACCGCCGAGCGCGTGGCCGCGACGCCAAAGTGTATGGTGTGTGTGTGTGTAGATTGGTGCTCTTCTGTGAGTGCGGTAGACTGTGTGTGTAGATGTGTGTCGATTGTGTGTGTGTGTGTGGTGTGTGTGTGTGTGCGTGTGTGTGCAGATTGTTGGCGAGTGCCCCCTCCTCGCTCCTCCTTCGCGGCCGCCCCGTCTGTCTCTTTCTCCCCTTCTGCACGCTGGGCAATTCGCTGCTCCGTGCCACCTTTAAGCTCTATCGCTGGTGCAGCCATTCTGCTTCGCCGCCGACGAAAGATGTCAGATTGTTGGTCTGAGTGATCGGGGTTCCGTCCGCCTTCTGTTGGTGCGGTCGTTGGTGGTTTCGCTGGTGGTAATCCGGTTCTTGCCCTTTATTGCCAACATGCTTGGCATCCTGCGGGCGGACGCCTCCCATCTTCTCTGCAGACAAGACAGGTCGCAAGAGCCACGGAACTTCCCTTTTCTGGAGCTTTCCTGTCTGCTTTGCCTGCGCTGGGTGCCCCTCGGCCTCCTTGCGCCCGCCCTCTTTTGGGCGGTGGCTGACGCCCTCCCTCTCCTCGCTCCTCCCTCCAACCCCCTCTGCTCTCCTCTCCCCTCCCCTCCCCTCCTTTCCCCTCCCCTCCTCCCCCTCCCTCCCCCCCTCCCTCCCCTCCCCTTCCTTCCCATCCTCCCCTCCCCTCCCCTCCCCTCCCCTCCCCTTCTCTCTCTCTCTCTCTTTCCTGGCTCGCCAGATGGTGTCCGACTCTAGTCGAGCTGCTGCTGGGACTTGCTGCAGTGGCCCGCCGCCCCTGCCCGGGGCGTCGGAGGCCGCTTCCTCCCGCCGGCCTCGCTCCCGCCTGGGACTCGGCCGTCGTCCTCCAATCACGGCGCTCGGCCGCTCGGAGGTCCCCTCAGATTTTTTGGGTCGGCGCTCGGCCGCTTGGGATTGCCTGCGGTCTCCTGGCGGAATCTCGCTGGCGCCCCTTCTGTGCCTTCCATCTTGGCCTTCCCCCTCCTCCCTCCTCCTCTCCTGGTGTGTCTCTGCCTCTGCGCTCCCCTGGTGACAGGCGCTCGGGACCCAACTGGCTGGGTCTCTGTGCCGGACCCTCACCCTCATTCTGGGCCTCCCGCCGCCCGCTGGCGTCGACTCGTCTCCTGTCTGTCGCTGCTGCCTCTGTGGGGTTGGCCGCGTTCCCGCGGTCCACCCCGTCTCGCTTCCTCCCTTTCTCCCCCCTGTCTCTTCGTACATCTCACTGTCGGGGCTGGGGGGGGGTCGGGCCCCTGCGCCATTGCTTGCCTTGCCAGGCCCGTGGGCCCGTACCCTCCCCAGCATTGGGTCATGACTTGGGCCCCCTCTGTGCTTAGCCCAGCCCAGGAGATCTGCCAGCGGGAACCTTTACGTGAGCCCAGCAGAAAGTCCGTGCTAATCCCCCCCCTCTTTTTGTCCCGCTCCCCGCAGGGCTGGCGCCCAGCTCCCGCTCTCCAGCCTGTCGGCAAGTGCCATGGGCCCCCGCACCCACGCCCAGGCGTCGCTCTCCTGGGCGCATGTTCGCCCTTAGCTCTGGAGTGCCAGCCGCCGTGTCCCATCCGCCCGTTTCGCTGCCCTCGCCCCCGTCTGCCCCCAGCTGGGCCAGGCCATCTCTCGGGCACGCTCGAGAGGGCATATCCGCCCTCGTCCCGTCTTCTCGCGCACCGTGTTTTTTTTTGGTGTGTGTGTGTGTGTCAGCGGGCGCGAGCGAGCCAGAGCGGGTTGCAGGCGCCGGTCGGCCTACGGGCGAGAGGCGCCGAAGGCGACTTGGGGAGCGCTCTCGCGCACAGGCGGCGGTGACCGTGTTCGCATGGCTAGCAACGGCGGTGGTTGCTCCTCCGTGTTCGCTGGGGTAGCAACGGCGGTGGTTGCTCCTCCGTGCTTCGGGCCGCTCCCATCCGACTGCGAGTCTGACTGGATGCTTTCTGACTGCCCTGCGTGCCGGCACCTGACGTTTATTGTAGGCTACCACACGATGTCGCGGGCTACGGCTTCTCGCGTCTGCACAGCTGGACTGTTGCACGGGTTTGTTCGGATCAGCCACACAAGTCGCACTTCATGCGTCGGGTGTCGTCGGGGTTTCAACCACCTGTCCCGCTTTGCTTCCCCCTTTCTCGTCCCTCCTCGCCCTGTCTCTCCAGCCGTTTTTTGTGCTCGTCGGTTCGTTATTTTGGCCTCTCGACCTTGTTTTGTTTTGACCTTGTGCGCTCCCACTTTCCTGGCCTCACTGATCTAGCCTTCTCGCGGCGCCCTCGGGCGCGCCGTCGGCTTTCTCTTTTCCGTCCCCTTCCCTCCGCAGCGTGTCTTCTCTGCTCCCTTTTCGCGGCGTCTGCTTCCTGCGACTCGGCGGTCGGCCACGTCGCATTTGTTCATGGTTTTTGATTTTAGCACGCGGTGTGCCTTTGTCTTGGATGTTGTCCCTACCTTGCTACATACCTCTGACGGTCTGACGGTTTCGTCGGTCCGTCGGAAGGAAGTGTGTGCGTGTGTGAGAGAGTGTGTGTGTGTGTGTGTGCGCGTGCGTGTGTGTGTGAGAGTGTGTGTGTGTGTGTGTGTGTGTGTGTGTGTGTGTGTGTGTGTGTGTGTGTGTGTGTGTGTGTGTGTGTGGGGGGGGGTGGGTGTGTGTGTCTGTGTGTGTGTGTGTGGGTGTGTGCGCGTAAGATTGGCGCGTATTCGCACGTCTCAATTCCCATCCTGGCGTGGAACGTTGGGTTCAGATCGGTAGTCGCGCTGCATGCCTCCAGCCGATGTGGATTCTGACTCTGGCTAGTTGGAGTGCTTTTGATCGTTGTTCTTCCCAGCTCGCCGTGCCGTGTAGTCACAGATGCACATTCAGAACTGCTGGGGTATCGTAGGACACCTTTTCCGAGTTCTTTGAGTGTTTCTCGTTGTCCCAGGTCCCCGAGGCGAACTCTGCTTCTTAGCTGTAAGCACTTTCTCTCCGATTGGAGTAGCCGATACGATTTGCAAACAGAGGACGCGGACTTCAGTTGTCTCTTGGCATATGCCAGTTCTACTTGCTGCTCTGGCTGGTTTGAAAGCTCTCGCTCGGCTCGGCCAGGTATGTACAGGTTTTGCGTGCGCATTTGACGCTTTTCTGGTCTGATTATGGTGCTCCGCACTCAGTGTATTAGTCTGGTCTCGCAGCCATACCTCATTCGAGCCAGGCGTCGCTTGCCGAATTGAGCATGTCGATACAGTTCGGCGCTCTGGATATTTCCAAGCAGTTGAGCGAACTGTGTGTGTGTGTGTGTGCTGAGCGCTCAGGGGTCAAACGACACTGATGCTGGACGCTAAGGGTTGCAGCTGAAGTTTGGTGGGCTGAGTACGCAAAGACGAGCTGCTCTCGCGAATCCAGTTTCACGCCGAGCAAATGCAGATCCGTGATCCGCACTGCATGTACCAAGAGGGGAAATCTGGCTACGGTATGCTAGCCATGCTGGCCATCGTATGCTGGACGTGCTGGGCCAGCAGAGGGTAGCAGGCTGAGCTATTCAACGAAAACGTGATTGTCTCAATCTTGCTAAGCTCTGCTAGTCGGTTCGAGTTTGTTCACAGGTGCCGTAAAGCAGATGCTATCACATTCTCAACACACCAGCAAGGCTGACATACTAACATACTACGATCAGCTGTTCGGGATAAGGTGAGCATGCAGCTTGAGCAAGCTGTTCTTTTCCGAGACTGCGCAGGAAGATGTGCCGAGCAGGCCACCGAGCCCAGACAGCACAGTTGAGCTACTCAAGCTGAGCGACCCGGTTTCTTCGCCAGCTCCAGGTGCCCGCTGGACAACCGTAAGGGTTGCTTTCATTTCTCTTTTTCCCCTCTCCCCTCCTCCCGTCCCCGTGCCTGGTCCCCTCGTTGCCTCCTGCTTTCTTCGCTCTATCGTCGGTGTTTTTCGCACACTGCCACTTCCGTATCGTGTATTGTATTGTGTCGCCTAGTGCCATACCCTTGAGAGCACGCTTATGGTCAGTAGGGCGCCTGGACTCGCTGGAGTCGGCTGGCGCTGACCCGTGATTCTATCTGTTCTGTCCGTCTTCCCCCTCTTCCCGCCCTCCCGCCTCCTCTCGTCGCGTTGGTCGCACGTGTAGACATTGGCTGTTTGGGGCTCGTGGGATATTTGCATGCTGCACGCTCGATTCCTTTCTCAAGCTATATCGTAGGTCGGCTTATGCGGAGTTACCAGATTTCCAGGCGACCCTTTGACTCGCAGTACCGTTTGGGCCAGAACGTGTGAAATTCTGTGGTCGCGCTCTCACAGGTAGCTCTTTCTGCTTGCTTGTGTTTGTCTAGGGGGCAGGAGTTGTGCGCCTGGACCGGCGCCAGCATCCGCCTGGACCAGCGCCAGCAGCAAACAACAGTTGTCAGCGCGCGAATCCTGTGCAAGCGGACAGGCCCCACATCTTATGTTCTGTTGAGTATGATTTTTCTTTTTGTTGAAGCAGCGATGATCAACGGATCAACGACGCGTGTCATGGCGCCAACATCGCAGAGCGGATTTCGTTCGGAAGACGATGAGATGGGCCCGGGTTGTCTTGGAGAATTTCGTTCCCGATTTCGAAGTGAACGTCGTGCGGATTTTTTGGCCAGGAATCAAGACTTCAAAACATCCACGTGACATTCACTTCGTTTTTCGCTCGCCGTTTCGGGGTTTAGCATTGACAAACCCACGCCAAAAAATCGGTGCAGCACCAGAGGTACATGCCCCCCAGGTCATTCAGGACTGGCGCTTTGGGGAGCATGGGAAATGCTTCTGTCGTCGCCCGCCCGTCAACCCCTCCACTTGCGTCCCCTCACCTCGACCGAATCCACCAGTTTCCGCTCCCCGCGCCACTCCCCGTCCCCGAATCCTCTTGTTCCCCAGACTGAGCACCCTTCCCCGTCGCTCTCAGATACACCCCCTCCCCGTCCTTCCAAAGCCCCACCCGGCTGCGGCAGGGCCGCGGTCAGGGCCGCGGTGCGGGCCGTGGTCCAGGGCCACGGTAAGGGCCGCGGTACAGGCAGCGGTCCAGGGCCGCGGCAGGGACCGCGGCAAATGGCTGTGGCAAGGGCCGCGGTTCGCGCGGGGAGGACAGCCGACTGGCCTCGCAGGCCTAGAGGTTGACACCAACACACCAACACCAACATCGGCGTTGCGCCTCCACCGAGGGAAGAAGATCCCGATCTCGGTGATGGTGGTAGTACTCTGGCTTCCAAGGTGACCGAAATATTGCCACCAACACCGAAATCTAGGATCATCTTCCCCATGTGGAGGCAACTCCCTGTATTGGTGTTGGTGCCCTTTTCTAGGCCTCCGACTTTTGGCCTCACCGTTTGCTTCACCGTTTCCATCGTCGTGAGGGGGTCGGCGGCGCAGCCGAGAGTTCGGGGCCGGAGTGCCCAGTCTTTGCCAGGGCGGGGTTCGGATGCCCCGCCCACATCCCCGACCTGTGATGTCTTGCTCGCTTGCTTGCTTGCCCACCTCCCCGAACCTTTGGACTGCTCCTCCTCTCCTTTCCCTCCTCCTGCTTCCGTCCGTTGCCGTTTTGGCTCCCGTCTTGGGCTCCGCTGGTGCGGCGCGCGTAGTCGCCGCGGCCGTTGCGGTTTTGTGTGCGGTATGACAGTTCGCGGAGCGGCTGAGTTCGCAAGCGTGGGCGACTCGCCAAACACAAACACATTCCATATATACACATATATGTTTATATGTTTATGTATATGTATATGCACGTTTATTTATATATATGTATATATATATATATGTATGTGTATGTATGTATGTGTGTGTAATCGCGATGCTGCCTCGAGTACAGAGCGCGGCCCACTGACAATTTAATCGTGGTTTGACCATCGGGGCCTTGTGGCTGTTCTCCATTGTCCTTCCTCCACAAATCGTCATCTATATCTGTCGGACATGGAACTGCCTACGTTGCTCAAGCTACTTTACCGCGGTCGGCTCCTCTGGTTCCGGAAAGCGCATCTGGTTTCTCTGATATTTTTCGAGGCGGCCAGCCGATCATTTCGACTTCGTTATGACCACCAGTCGAAGTACCCCCATCCCTCGCGCCCCGCGGGCGAGGAAATGGGGGGACAGGGAACGGGAGGATCGGACTGGGGATCGCAGTGAGGGCTTCCTAGTCGTCCAGACCGCCTACTCGTGGGAACCCGCCAGGGGCTTGGAGGGAACCCGTTGTCGAGCCTGCAGAGGCGAATGGGCTGGGTGTGAGCTTCGCGGTATCCTTGCGCAGGCTCGGTTGCGAAACGAATGGCCCGGAGTGCCCCGCCGGCATCGTTCGGGCATCCCTGAGGCGGGGCGAGGCGAGTGACTTGGTTGCGGCTCTGCCAGGCCCACAGGTCCTGTCAGGCGAGTCATTCCTCCTCGTCGTCCACGTCGTACACGTCCTGAAGCTCTTGGCTTGCGTGCCCTCCCGCCGGGGAGCTTCCGTTCAGCTCGCCTCGCAGCTGTCAGACGCTCGCCGCCCCACGGCGGGCGCTGGCGGGTTTATGACGACGACAGGGGCTTGGTTGGCTTCGTGAGGAGTATACACGCCGACGAGGCCGTGGGTCCCGCTTTTGGCGGCGCGGGGCGAGGAGGCAAAGGACGAATCGGGGAGATGGCAAGAGGAGGAGGATGAGGAGGAGGTGGAGGTGGAGGAGGTGGTGGTGGAGGTGGAGGTGGATGAGGAGGATACGGAGGAACAGGAGGAGGAACAGGAGGAGGAGGAGGAGGCGCAGGAGGAGGAGGAGGAGGAAGAGGAGGAGGAGGAGGAGGAGGAGGAGGAGGAGGAGGAAGGGCAGGAGGGCAGGAGCAGGAGCAGGAGCAGGGGCAGGAGCAGAAGCAGGAGCAGGCGCAGGAGCAAGAGCAGGAGGAGGAGGAATGTCATTATTAGTATCACTACTACTACTACTACTACTACTACTACTACTACTACTGATATTACTCTTACTACCACTACCACTACTATTGCTAGTAATAGTAAGAATACGGATGGCATTGGTACTGCTACTATTAGTAGTCGTGTTAGTTCTAACGCCAGCACTAATGGTCATAACGTGAATACTACTTATGATAGTAACAACTACCACTTTTCATAGTGATGAGAAATGCCACCGCTACTACTACACCAACAACAACTGCTGCTACTACTGGCACCATGACTACTGCTACTCTTACGACTCATGTGAATAGTAGTAGCACGTATGACAATATTGTTATATGTAGTAGTACTGTGAAACAGATTAGTAATGGTATGGTTAGTGATAATATTACAAAGAATACGAGTAGCAGTACGAGGGACATACACTTAATACTGACAGGAAGAAACAGACTCATACGAACAATCTGACCACCAGTACTCATATTACTATTGTAAATTGTCAGGCTAATACAGAGAAGACGAAAAACACTACGAACACTATAAGGAATAGTAAGGCGAACACATCATACGAACACAAACGCGCATCATACAAATAGTCAGATGGCGAGTGCGATTATCACGACTAGTAATAATACGGCTAGGTCTATTCTGCTAGTCTGCTAGCGGTAGCGATAATAGTTTTCATAGTTGTACTACTAAGGACAAGACGGTGCATAGCACTCATATCTTTCGTAGTCGTTGTAGTACTAGTACGAACCCACTGCCAATCCTACCATTACTACTACTACTACTACTACTACTACTACTACTACTACTGCTACTGCTACTACTACTACTACAACAACTACTACAACTACTACTACTACTACTGCTACTGCTACTGCTACTGCTACTACTACTACTACGACGACGACGACTACTACTACTACTACTACTACGGCTACCACTACTACTGCTACCACTACTACTACTACTACTACTGCTGCTACTACTACTACAAGTAATCGTAAAACTACAGGTGCTACGATTTCTATTCATGGTCATAAGTGGAATACAAAAGAACACGAATGCTACTAGTAACAGCTCTACTAGTTCACTGCTGCTGCTGGTTCTGATAGTAGTCGTACTAGTGCTGATACGGATACCACTGTTCAGTGGTAGTACTACTGCTACTATTTCCAAACCATCCTGTGGTGTTGGGTCCTCGTTTTGGAGAGACGGTGCCCCGCGTCTCCTTCTCTCCTCCCGCTGCCCCCTCCCTCCTCCCCCTCCACGCCATCACGAAGGTCCCAGTGGCGCAGGTTGCATGCGTCCCCCCCCGCCCAGGACAGCGCTTCGTGGCCCCATAGGGAGCTCCACCGAAGGCCCCAGTGGCGCAGGTTGCATGCGTCCCCCCACCCAGGACAGCGTTTCGTGGCCCCATAGGGAGCTCCACCGATGGTCCCAGTGGCGCAGGTTGCATGCGTCCCCCCCCATCCAGGACAGCGTTTCGTGGCCCCACAGGGAGCTCCACCGAAGGTCCCAGTGGCGCAGGTTGCATGCGCCCCCCCCCCCCGCCCA